TGGATGGATGGGTGGATGGGTTGATGGATGGATGGATGGATGGATGGATGGATGGATGGATGGATGGATGGATGGATGGATGGATGGATGGATGGATGGGTGGGTGGATGGATGGATGGATGGATGGATGGATGGATGGATGGATGGATGGATGGATGGATGGATGGATGGATGGATGGAATGTGCATCATTTTATCTGCCTCTCTTACCCTGATGCGCTGGAAGAGGGCAAATCTGAATTTATAACTTGATCTTCTTGCATTGCTCCCAAACGTTACGCTCCCTTGCAAACTGAAGCCTTTTCTCTAGTTAGCCTCACTAATTAGATGTTTGCTGACTTCTACACAGCTGCTCAGGCCCAAACTCTTCCCTTCACACTGTGTGTAGAAATGCTCTTATTTTTACTACTAAACAACCTTAAGTTATACTGTCGTTTTTCTTCTATTTAATGTTAGCCAATGTTTAAGAGATCCAGTCATTCAGGATTCTTTTCAGACCACATTTCTTCCTGAAAACAATGGTTCCCTACTGTTTTTCAGGTTTTTAAATATTCATTGGACATTTAACCCAATTTTGCAATTTCATCAGTTTTTTCTCTGCTTAATGCCAATGATTTGACCTTTTTTAAATAGACTAACATCTTTTCCACAACCATGGGGTGTGTCTTTACACATGAAGTCTAAGAAATGAGACGCAACCATTGCATCAGCTGGAGTCAACCAAGTGAATCTCCAAATTGTAGGGTTTTTTTTAACTTGTGTGTTTTGCCTGAGAACCACAAAGACCAATCACTTCACTTTCACCTTAAATCAGATCAGAATGAAGTTTCAAAGAGAGGGGATTATCTGACTTATAATCAATAGAAATGATCTCAGTAATAAAGATGTTATCGAGACAACAAGCTACTTTCAAAAATGTTGTAATGTTGCAAAGTCTTACTTAGAAAATTGAGCAGAGTTTTAAGACTAAATTAGATTTATTGACAGTAGCTCTGTGTAATCCTCTGTATTGATCCGTCAGTCAAAACTCATTCAACTATTGAAGTTACACATTCAATCAAACACCTGCAGCCTGAAACATGAAAAAATAAATAAATAAAACCTTACCATGACGTTTAGTTCCAGTTGTCAAGGGCACTACAAGGGCAAAGAGCAGAGAAAGATGCTCTAGATATCATAATGCAAGAAAATATTTCAAAACATAAATATCCCCAAAATAAGTTAAGTTTTTATTGCAGTTCCTTAGATTCTAATGGAAATTTGTAATGTTTTTATTAACTTTATTAATGTAATGCCTTTATTAACAAAGGCCTGCAGTCATTCTGAGACTGCAGAGATCTTCACAAAATTCAGAAATAGTCAAATTTTCATTTCACCAAATAATTATTTCAACCAAGTGGAAACTAATACATTGTTTGCCCTTCTGAAGACATGTAAAAGGTCTATCAAGGTAGTTTCAATAATTTAAAACAAAGCAACTATGCTGCTGCATTCCTTTCTGACTCAAATTAAAGGTTGGATTTTTTTTATTTTATTTATTTTATCGTCATTGTGAGATGATGCTGCTATAAGACATACTACAATAAAAGACTATTTTTAAGGAATTACACAACTTTTCCAGTGGTTTTATTCAATGTGGAGGGTGCTGTAAGGTGGAGATAACTACATAGAAAAGGGTTTCACTTCTCTCACAGACTAACTGAACACAACCACTCACAAGAGGCTAATAGACACGATAGAGAAAGTTTTTTAAAAATATAAATCAACATAAAATTGAAGGTTTCTTCTCTCTAAAACACTGAGAGTCACGAGCATCTACAGTAAATTCAGTTATTCTCACCATGATGGTTTTTCAGCAAGCAGAAAAAGCACTAAAACAAGCTGTGAACAGGTGTAAAGAGTGTTAACACATTAGCAGAAAAAGACTTAAAACAGATGATCGCTGACTCAGCAGGACAGCTGTGAGGAGAGGTGTGAGGAAATCGGTGTTAGAGAGACAGAGTCGTCGTTTTGTGTTACCAGTACCTTTCAGGAGCCAAGCCAGAGCTGACTCTCACCAGTCGATGTGCCTCGGAGGAGCCGAGGCCCGTGGAAACCTGTTCATTGTGTCATATGTTGGGACGCTACCGCCACAGGAACAAACACGCACACAGGGAAAAACGTTACCAGACAGACTCAACATTTTACATCCACTTCCTTTAGGTGGCAAGAGGAGAAGGGTGAGCAGTTCACACAACAGAGAGCAAAACATTCTCTGAGTATCTTACTGTGCAGACAGAGTAGTTTAGTGCTGACCAATTAGAACAGGTTTTAAATTATGTAATACTCTGATTGATGCATGAGTTTCATTCCAAAAGATTAATGCAACTCAAACAGAAAGATAAGGTTCAATAAAATGTTGTATTAATTTTGCAAGTTCAAACTGGAAATTAAACTCCTATTTTTTCAAACCGCAACAAGTCAGAGCAACTCCTCATTTAAATGTTTTACTCTCTGTGTTTATCTTGTTGGTTCAAGATGCAAACTCATCTGCGTCCAAATGCAACTTAAAGAGATAAAACACGCAGTTAAGCATCTGGTTAGATTCAGAAAAGAAAATCAAAAGTAGCAACATATCCAGGGACACACTAAAGCTCAACATGCTTGCCTCTCTCTGAACAAAATGATCAGGTGTACATTCATCGGACTTTGGCCGACACTAAACGAGAGGAAACAGGAGAAGATTTCATTTCATTCCACAGGAATTTCCCAGCGTCAGAAAGAAAGCAGTTGGTTAGTAATACGGAAGATTCCCTCAAAACCACCAAGCAAAACATTTACAACATGAAGTAGTGGTAGCAGACAGATTCATCAGCCTCAAGGCTCCCATGACTGTTGGAAGGTGGAAGATCAGACTGATTATTGGGAATTGAAACCCTAATTTCTCTTTGATGAAAGAGAGTTTAAGTGAGGGTATAGTTTTCCTCAGTGTAAAGACTGCAAATTTTGTAAAATGTGCTCCTTCTTTTTCTCCACCAAGATGTTCCAGCTGTTATTTTTCTAACACTCACCTGTAGTTTAACTTTGCTTACTGTGATAAGCAAGTATTTTAAGTATAAATCGCAATTACGTTCCTTTAAGTTGTGATATTTAAAAGGTTGATTGTGAAAATGGCACTTCTAACAGAGTTAGTCCTTTAGATATTATCTATGACAAGCCTTTGTTAGTATTTGTTTTCCAATAATCTCCAGTCTTCAAGTTGATTAACCCAAATCGATCTTTATTCCGCTCCATATTTCAGCCTCAAAGAAAACAGTAGGGCTATGATCTGATGCTCATCAACAAACCCCACACCCCACCCCAAATGCTAAACCACTGCTGAAATTCATTTTAAAGCACTTTTTATCATAAGTATCAAAAAGTTGATTCCGGATTGTTTCTAATAAAAGCTGCCACTACTTGCCAGTTTAAATCTTTGCTATAATATCACACCGACTTATGTGTGTGTGTGTCTTGAAATGACTCCTCTGCGAGCATGCACTGTGTTCAGCCATATTATATATAAAACCAACTTCCCAGGCATGCATCCACCTCCACCATGACATGCAGTCAGCAGGATAAAGAGAAAGTTTACCTTGTCATCATAGGATTAGGAATACCTTGTGAACTCTCACTATGATAACCATTATTACCAATTTCCATACTGAAAATAAAACATTGAGAACAAAAATGGAATGAAAAATGAGAAACGCAACATGCTGAATAAAAATGTTTCCTTTATATGTGGTTAAATCTTTAGACAATATCAGGAGATGAATATGTTCTGAGTATAAACCTTAATGTTGTATTTACAATTTTTTATTTTTATTTTTTACAAAAAACACTTTAATGATTGCAAGAGCCCTTCATGAGAGGTACTGTAAGGGGCACTTCTTAAACATAGCACATGACAAAAAGCCACATCGTTCACCCACATGAGCAATTTTGAAGCTCAAAAATGCAAACGAGCACCAAGAATTTAGTAAACAGCTTTCTATATACATTATTTGGGGAAAAAAAAGCACAGAGTGAGAGAAGTTAAAATGAAAAGGAGGTTGGGGAAGAACGTCTTACTTTTTCATGGGAATTGTCTCAACGCTATGGAGATACACAGAAAACAGGAACATAAAAATGTTATTGAGATGTTCAGCAAAAGAAATGCATCATACATCCTTCTGTGCAATCCAACAGTGATTGCACAGAGGGAGATGCAGTTGATCAGCTGATATATTACAATTACTATTACTGTAGATAAAGCCATGAGTCCACAGAGTCCGAACATGAAAAAAGGCCCATGAGGAAGAAATAAGAATTGACTAATTTATTAGTGTCTTTTCTTTGTAAAGTGCCAAGTGCTTGACAAAGAAGAATGAAGAAATAAAATAAAAAATATGGAAGATGGAAATAGTAGGAATGGTTATCACAAAGTAAAATGCCAAGTCCCAGAAACAGAGGAGCTAAGGGGAAGAGGAAAGGGAGCAGAAAATAAATCAAAACAGAAAAGTTTAGTAGTACAGAACAGTTTTAGAACCCATTCTAAAGCAAACCAGAAAACTAACCAATTATATTCAGATACTCTAAAGAAAAGCCTAAAAGAGAAGGATGTCCTGCAACCGTCAAATATTTAAAATATATGTGCAGTAATTTAGATCTAATTGAGCCATAAAATAACGAAAACTGCAGCTTCATAGTAATAACAGATAGAGCAAAAACATGTGAGAAGAAAAATAAATGCAATAACTCACTCATCATAAACATCCTCTGTGTCCATCCTGCGGTAGTACTTGGCTAGTTTCACAGCTAGTATTACGCTTGGGAGCAGGAATAATGTGCTGCAGCCCAGACCCATCCAGAAAGTGTTCTGTCGAAAAGATCATTTAAAGAATTATGTTTCATAATTTTTTATGAAGTTAACACAATGATTTGCCTTGTAATTTATTTATACCTTTTATGCTTTTTCCTATGTGTTAAGACAATAAAAAATTTAAAACCATGAATTATTTTCCTTCCACTTCAAAATTGTGCACCACTTTGTAGAAATCACTTAAAATCACATTAAAATGCACTGAAGTTTGTGGTTCTAATGTGGAAAAGTTGAAGGGATGTGAATACTGTTTAAATGCATTGAAACTGCTGTTTTTAATTTGGCTTTGGTTTACAGACATAACATCTAGATATTGACCTTAATCACTTTGGGTGAGTTATAACACTGCTGCACAACTAGATTTGTTTCACTTTAACTCTTTGGGGGGCTTAACGCGTTAAACATCTGCACTGAAACACAGAGATCTGCAGTTAACTGCCTGAAGCTTGATTAGGTGGGATTTATTTTTATTATTGCCATTGTTACCATAGAATCCACCAGAAAACTGCAGGTCATGATCTGCGCCGTATCCAAGATGTTGCTGAAGGGCTTGCATGGTGCAACCTCCAAAGCCAACTACAAAGGATGTAAACAGGAAATGTTATCGCACCACCATACTGCCAGTAAACACAAAGTTTCTTAACTGTGGGACAACACATCTGTGCATTCTGACTGTTCCTGAAAAACAATAACATTGAGACTGAAACAAAAAGGTTTTACTGACATATATGAGAATCAGAGCTAAAATATCTTATTTTTCACTTTGGTTTGAATTCCTTTGGCTTTACTGCAGCAGAAACCATCGTGCCTCAAAGTAAATTCCTCAGATTTAAAGGAGCTGTAGCTTTTATGTTTGTCCTCTCTATATTTACCCCAAAAACTGTTATGCAAGTTTTTTGTTTTCCACTGTATAACACTGACCTTTTTTTGTAACTCATGCTGCAGAAAATCCTTTCACTAAACATGAACAAAGTAATGCATTAAACATAAAGTTAACATAATATGAAAATGGTAGATAAACACTTACTGATGTTTTGACCCATTCTATGTACTGATTGAAATAGCCAATAATGGTTGCTGAGTATTTTCTTGTTTCCTGTACAAAATTAGAGAACAGCTGTTAGTTTAATACAATCAGAAAACTGAGATTAAGCAAAGAGATACATTTTACCTGGTTGATTAAAAGTGTTGCATTATGGGATATGAGATGCTGAGCAGCTTCAATGGCCTCAAGAACATCTGTGACTTTGTTCTGTAAAGACAAACTAGTCAGTACCAATGTGACTGTAAATATGAATTTTGATAGCGGTTTATTTACCGGGAGGTCAGAAGCTGTCCTCTCCAGAAACCTCATACTCTGGTTCAATGCACTCTTAGAGAAAACAAAAAATAAGACATTAGTTTCAGAAGTTAAAGACTAACAAAAAACTGAGAGCAACACATACACAATGAGTGACATTGATTTAATTGTTGGCATGCTGGAGGATTTTGTTCCAAAATCAAATATCCACAATGCAAAGACATAAGAACAAATACAATCATATACACCACATAAAACAAATAAGGACTGTCCCTTTATTTTGTCTAAAAAAAATAACATTTATTCTCTTCGTGTGGATATTTTGAACTATTTTGGCACAAATACTTTAAATATTAACTATAAGTTTGTGAAAACAACAATAAAAAGTGTGTCTGCAACAAAATAGCATGTCAAAGATACGTTGTTTGTTTAAAGCTCCAGGTAATAACACAGTTAATGCATATCATATCATAAACTTGTGCTTACCCTTGCTCTAACATATTTCTTGATGGTGAACAGAGAAAAACAAAACAACAAAACATAAATAAATGTTGTGCTGAAAACCAACAATGGTTTCATCTGTTCATCCTAGATGATATCTGACAGACTGGTTCTGGGCTTGTGGAGAAAATAAAGCTGAATATTTCATATTTAATGTGTTCTGACACAAGCCCGAGGGCAACAAGTGCTATTTTATTTTACAGAACAGCAGACAAAGCAACATTTTATATATTCACACCTCTATACCGCAGACTGTTACAGTGGAATAATTACTTAAAATTATTGGTTGTAAATGTTGAAACAAAGAGTCTCTAAAGCAGATGGATGTAAAATCAGCACAAAATGTAAAGGGAAAATTTCTTTCTCAGGCGAAAAAGCTGTTATGAAAAGACAGCAATGGGAAAAATGCAAAATGGTGAAAAGCTGAAATGACCATTACACCAAACAACCAAACTAAAATGCCGAAGTACAAAAGTCAGTTTTGTTAATTTATGCAACACCAATTAACTGCAAATATCATCTCAAGATTTACGAGATACAAAACTCCAATTCATAAACAGAAATGTATAATTAAATCAATCTAAAACAGTTTAATCCTATGGGGGGAGAAAATTTAATGACATACTTCCAGTTCCAGTACAACATCTCTAAATCCACCAAGGTTTGCTCACCTAGATGCAGCCTACAGTATTTAGGTCTTCATTGTTTGGTGCAAGTGAGAGAATTACTTGTTTTCTTCTAATATTAACTGTATTTATCAGAGAGCCATTACATATTGAACGTGTATGTCCTCATTTTTGTATTGTTTTTATGTGGTTTAGGGTGGATAACTATGCAAATCTGGTTGAAACAGAGTTCTGCTGAAAGTATCTTGGACACGCAGTGGGGATTACCATGGCCTGCTCCATTGGAGCGATCTGTTGTCTGTGGATCCGCTGCAGAGTGGCCACATGGCCTTTCAGAGCTGTCTGCAGAGGTCCCCTGGGCTGGAGAAGGAGAAAAAACAAGTCAAGTTTTATTCCAAAAGAAGAGGAAGAAACTGCGTTCGTGAGATTCCTGCTGCCCAGACATTTCTTAAACCTTTGGTCACGTAACAGAAAACAATGCATGTTTTAGCTCTCACTCATCATACATCAGGAAAGAATCAAATGTTTTATAAATGTAATTCTTTTTTAAAAACACATTTTTCCCATTTTACCAAACTGCCAACTTTTAAATAACTGCATTTTGTTTTTGCATTTGAAAGTGCACAGATATTTAGTTTTTGCCAACACAATCATTCTGCATGAAAGCACACCAGTCTCTGTGTAGCAGCATCTGTTAAAAGAACTTAGTTAAAAGGATCACTTTCCATCACAATTTGAGAGAACAGGTGCATTAAAATAATCTCTTGTGCAGAGATGAAATAATATGAAACTCCATAATGTGAATGTTGGTGCATCAGATAATGTAACCAGATCAGCTGCCTTACCATCAGGTCTGTCTGGGACTCCAGCTCTTTGGCGAATGAGAGAACATCCACCACAGTGACTCCTTTATTCACCTTAAACAAAGAAACCAGTAGCTCAAACACTGAGCTTGGATGGCTTCACACACATTTATTAAATAGAAAGTTACATTTTAGACATGTAAGTATTGATAATGCAGTGAAGAATTTATAGTTTATACAGTGATTTTCTTCAGGCATATTTGTGGTTTACATAAAAGATTAGAACAATTTGCCCCTGTGCCTTACATAATTAATGACTGCCACGAGCAGAAAGTCTGAATTCTTGAATACTGCATTTAATACGTTCAGACATTGTTGTTCTTAATTTGCCACCAACATGCAGGTCAAAGCTTTACAAAAACTTTCAATTTACATGGCTCACAAATTTCCAAATAATTGCAGTTATTCTTCACATCAATGTACAGAAAAAACATGGGATTGTAATTTATCGTGTCTTTCTTCAGCTAAGGCCTTTAGGTCATCTTAGACCAAACTGAATCAGATCAAATCTCTTGTTTCCTTGTACAACTCAGAAATCAGAGGCTTCTGACTGAGAGAATGAAAGTTAAGCTAAACATTTCACACATTTGTAGATTCAGTCAAAAGGATAATTACTTTTTGCCCTCAGTCTCAGGTCTTTAAAGTAAAGCTGACTGATTGATGAAAAGAGCAAATGTCAAGTTCTAGCACATACCTCACACCTTTGGCCTGGACTGGATCCTTATTGGATAATTTAGCTTTAGCAATCCTTCACAGAACTCTGCCTGAAGCTTGTTAACTGATTTAGGTGTTGATAAACTTAGTAAGTCAATTATTAAATAATTTAAATACATTTTTTCACAGACATAATTTAACAATTGCAACAATTTATACATCATAACTCCAAAATAAAAACTATTCAAAACCAACCACTGACAGCATGCTGTGCTCCTGTTCATGTGTTTCTATAATCACAGCATGTGTCACCTCGTCAAGGTAGTCGGCGTAGTTGATCTCTGAAAGGCCAGCTTCAGAGAAATCTAGGAGGTTCTGCTTCCCCTCTGCCTCTAACAGGATTATCGCTCTCAGGTCAATCCGAAAGTTCTCCAGCTGATGCACCACATCCTTAGTGAACTGTAAACACAACCAGGGATCAGAAGTTTGGGTGAGAAAATAACCCTGAACAAAGCAACTTTCACATTTACACATCAAAATCTTCTTTCTAAACAGGGCAGATGTCTGTAACAATGTGGCAGCATGCTACATGCAGCATGCTACATGCAGCATGCTACATGCAATAGGCTCTGGAAGGCTTGTAGAGGTTGAAGGTAAAATGATTGCAGCAAAATATTAGGAAATCCTACAGAACAATTAGTTTCCATCTACCAGAGAACTATGACTTCAGAGAACATTTATTTTCCAGCAACATAATGACCTGAAGCACCAAGCTGAAGCTGCACAGAAATGGTTCAAAGACAGCAAGGTGGATGTTCTGGAGTGGGCTAGTGAAAGTCCACACCTCAACCAACAAGGAACCTGTGGCAGGACTTGACAAAGGCTGATCCTCATGCAACATGGCAGAGCTCGAATATTTTTACAAAGAAGACTGGAGTATCATTGCATCATGGGAATTTGTTCCTTTTATGCCCTTTGTTTAACTTGAAACTTTTTGGGAAAAAGATAATTAAGAGAGATCAAAAATATGTATTTTGATATTTACTTGAAAATCTCTTGCTTTCCATTTGTGCTATAAAAATAATTTGTCCCTGTTTGCACCAAGACTAAGTGGATTAACAGGAGGAACTACAAAAGACATTATTAGGTCTTCTTTTATTTTGAGGTCTTCTGAAAACCACAGTCATCATTCTCAGACATGTCTTTGCAGAAGAAATTTTGAAAAAGAATGCCTTGACCAAAATATGTCTGCTTTCCCAGCCAAGAAAGATGTTTTTGTGCCACTATAAAGAGAACAAAAACACATTGGGACAGTAAACCAGTTTCCAGGATAACTGAATGTCACGTCAAAAGTTTAGGATTTTCCAGAAAACTAAAAATGTCAGCCATATAAGTTTTTACTGTGTGTTTGTTTTCTTCAGTGGGCTAAAATGAATGTTGTTTTAGAGTCCAATCAAAGGGAAGAGACCATCTACCAAATAGTGACAGTACAATCAAGTTTAGAAAGAAGGAAGACGATGAGCAGTTGGTATTGTCTTAACTTTTTATAAAGGTGTTACTCTCCACATCAAAAACACCGTCTATGATAGATAAGATAAAATGGTTAAATGTTTAAGTTGTTTCATATCAGGACTACAGATTATTGCATATTATGAATCAAATATGGCTATATTATTGATTTAAAAATATCCAAAGGAATTTCAATGTTCATGATTTGATTTGATGATGTGGACAAATGTCTGGATGGATAATAACTACACTGGTTCTCCAAGGTAACCAACCAGAGATGTAATATGAAGAATACAACCCACCTTTCTGACTTTGAATTGATAGGAGAGCTCTAATGAAGACTTATTTGTAATATGAACCATCATTACTTTGGAGAATGTTTTGTTACTTCAGGATGCACTGAATTTGAATATCACTCCATATAACACTGATTACTGACTGATATGCTGGTCAAATTCAAACCAAAAAACTTTGAAATAATTGAGTTCATTTTACAGAAATATCCACTCCTCCGATGGGAAATTAGTAGAGAAATGTTTGTGCATGACTTTGTTCCACATTGTTTGATTTTGTTCATTTGAAATTAGCTGTGAGCAGAAATAAATAGCTGCAGCCAGAGAAGACTGTATAATCCCACTCAAGACAATATTTAATCAGTTTTTTCTTTCAAAGTATCACATCCCACAACCTGTCAGGCAGTCCACACTTTTTCACACATTTAAATATTATGTGCATAATGTAAATAAATGGCTTCTTCAGCAAAGTACTGATTCAAGGTTGCTGAAAGCAGAGGGAATGCCACACTGCATATATATAACCATTATTTTACAGTATATATACATTTTTTTCCAAGAGTACAGGAAACAATGTTATACATGCACTTTGAATTGCTATTATTAAATTAACAAATGTTAATATTTACACAATATCGGACAATTGGCAGAAGTTTTGTATTCTTAAAATATTTTTTGCAATCTAATTAACTAAGGGATCATCAGTATGACAGCTGAAAGAAGCTCATTCATAAACCTATGTTGTTATCATGTTTAATGTTTACAACATGTTTGAAGCTCTTTTCCAGTTTAATAAACATTTTCTAACTTCTGTAACTGTGTTTATTAGATTTATTTACTTTCTGTACATGACTTCCACCAACAGCATAAACCTGGATTATAGAGTATATGTTGTGCCTGTGCAGATTACTAACCACTGTGGTGTTCAGGAATGAGGAGATGTTGAAGACTTTATCCAGACGCAGGGCAGAGTAGATGCCTTTGTTCTGTTTGCAAGTACTGAAAAAGTCAAGCATATAGATTGGCAAGAAAACAGAGGAGAGAGAGAAAAATCAGTTTTATACCAGTCTGAGAGAAAATGTTTGCTGCCACCATGTGTAATTGATTGGAATTACAGAGCTGATGTGTTTCAAAATTGGAAGCAGGACCATTTACTCAAACAGCTAAAGTCTTCTTAAATTCTAACATTTAAGCAACCAACTAGTTTTCTTATTAAAGTTAAATCCATGTCTGTTTGTAAATGTAATGACTTTGGGTCTGCCATCGCAGCGTACTTATGAATCCCCATCAAGCAGTAGGATGATGAAAGCTTATGTAATCATACAGAAGTAAGCTGCAGAAAAGCAGTACTAAAGTGTAAAAAATGACACTAATTAGCTACGGCAAGTTAACTGCAGTTCCTTTCATTTGCATCCCCCCTTCCGTCTGGATGAAATATTCAACTGGAGACTCGATGCCACAAGCAATGAATGTGCCACAGCAGAAAGTTTTAGCAAAATATGAATAACCTCATTTGTTGATAACCCAACATCCAACAGAAACAGTTTTAAAAAAAGTTAAAAATACATTCATCAATGCTTTCTAAGATTTTAAATATAAAGAAGATATATACAAAGAACACTGAATGCATTGCTGTTCTACTCTTCATATGCAATGCTGTTTATGTATTGCTTAAAAATGTTTTCTAAGCTGTCTGCATAAGAGACATGTGTATACCTCAACTAAAAGCTTTTTACATTTGAATACATGCTAAAAAAAACCAATATGTTTATTTGAAAATAAATGTTCAATAAATTTGGGATCACAACAGAACTTTGCAGAATGTTAATATATAATATAATATAATATAATATAATATAATATAATATAATATAATATAATATAATATAATATAATATAATATATCTGAGTTTTCTTTGCCTGTATAAGCTTTCCGATGTCAGCTCCAATTCAGAGTCATTGTACATGTAGCCTGGAATGAAATTCTTCCACTCTGGGTTGATCAAGTATGGGGTGTCAACGACCTGGTGAAAAAAAGACAGAAGAAAAGTAAAAGGTCTCTCATTCATTTATGTTAATATGTATTCTTTACATTAAAGCAGTAAGAACTCTGTAGATGTATAGTTGGTGGAACTGTAGCTAACATGGAGTGGACTATTGCATCGCATCATTAAAACCCCATTCAGGCATCATAACATTATGACCAGTAAGCACCAAAGTAAATAAACTTGATTACCATGACAACCTGTCATTGGTGAAAGCAGCACAAAACTACAAACTCAAGGATTTGCATGTGGGGAATAAACATTGGCAAGTGTGGTTTGACCCAACTGACTTCCTACTGTAGCACAAATTGCTCAATAAGTTCATGCTGGTTCTGAAAGAAAGGTGTAGGAACACACACTGCAGCCCAGTTTGTGTATGGTGTTGCTTAGCTGCAGACCAGGGGTGTTCAAAGTCGGTCCTGGAGGGCCGGCATCCTGCATGTTTTAGTTCTCTCCCTAGCGGTTTTAACAACCTCCTCAGTAAGTCAGTGTTCTGCTTAGGCCTTCTAACGAGCCATCATTTGATGCAGGTGTGTAAAACCAGGGAGAGAACTAAAACATGCAGGATGCCGGGCCTCCAGGACCGACTTTGGACACCCCTGCTGCAGACCTTGCAGGGTTGAAACAGTATTCCCTGACATCTGTGGCCTTTATTGCCAGGAATATGTAACTTTGCCACAAAGCAAAATGGTTCAGGAATTGTTTGAGGAGCACAACAAATATGAAGCATTGACTTGGCCTCCAAACTCCCCAGATCTCAATACAATCTATGGTGAAAGTGCATTCTCTTACACATTTAGAAAATGTTAAATTTTCTTGTTTTTATACTAAAAACCCATAAATAAAATTAAAAAAAAGTTCCAAAACATTCCTTCTGATCCAAAGAGGTTAAAGGCAAGTGATAAGAAATAATTGTTGTCTGCTTTTTCCACTTGCCTTGAAGAGTTCTTTGGTGTGAAATGGCTCACAGAGAAGTTTCTCCATGTTTCCTCCTGCCAGAAAGATGGTGGTCAACACTCCCATAAGCATCCAGGAGAAAATGAAGCTAAACCCAACACCGCTGTGGACAAAAACAAATTCACTCTCAGGTGGGAAGTTTTGATTTATGTTCACAATGTTAACAGTGAATATTTTTATTTTGCAATTGTTATCAAGAATCTCCAATGTTTCTTCTCTCCTGCTTGAACCAAGATCAAATTAATTGAAAATCTTGAGAAAAAATAGCTGTTTGGAAACCAAAAGATTGAGAGATAAAAGGGACTGGTTAAGGTACAAGAGTTAGAACATTAAATAATAAAAACTGAGTTTCACTAGGGTATGTTAGACTTACGCCATCAGCAGTGTTCCTCCTGTATTGGAGATACATCCTCGTGTCGTCGGTGAGGCATGCTTGTCGTATCCCAGGGTGCCGCACAGAAGGCCCAAATAGTTAAAGGCCAAGACCAGAACCACCATGCAGCACAGAGCGATGCAGCCGATCCATCTGTGAACATCAAGCAGAAACTAAACAACATGTAGAAGCATCAAGTCCCAGAAGAGATTTGTTGAGTTAGGGATATTTTAATTGTACAAACAGTTTGAGCTAACCCTAGCCCTAACCCCATCACTACTATCTAGGAAATAATGTCAGCCACACCCATAAAATTAAATGAGTCACATGAAGGTGTTTGCTTTTAAAAATCACATCATTTTTTATTTGGATATCTTGCAAAACTGTATTACAGACTATCCACACTATTTTTCGATCTAAAAAAACTGGGCTTTCACAAATAATCAGTTTTAACCCTTTACAATGAAGTTCACTTTGAAATAATTCACATAGGTTGGTTCTGTTAGTGTTATGTGGCTTGTTCTGATCAGATGTGCTTGGTTCAAGGCTGCTTGACTATGAAAAAAATTATGATCCAGATTATTTTGGTCAATATTCAGAATTAAAACTGATTTTTCATTATATTTAGAAGAACAATGCATTTCTCACATTCGGAAAACATGCATAGTATATGTTTAAATACAAATAACAAAAGAAATCAAATTAAAATTCTTTAAGAAAAGAAAAAAACTAATTACAAATTATTTGAAATTAATTACAAATAATCAAAATATCAATAATAAATAAGATAAGTAAATGTATGTTTGTCACAGTTAATCTTGAAAATATAATCTTGATCATATTTTAGTGTTGGATCCTACATATGTATTTAAATTTATGCTACATATCTTGAATAAACTTGAGTTTCCCTCTGCTAGTTACTCGTAGATACAGAAACGTGGTAATTATATTTTATTTGTTCAAAATAATGATACATTTCTATTTTAGAGTCCTATGAAATAGAACCTAACCTTTCCTGCACCGTAAAAAAATGTCCTGTTCTTTATGTAAAGAAAATTGTTCACTTATCTGGATATCACTTTACCTGTAGAAGTCCATTTTGTCAATTTCAGGATAGTAGTCTTCGATTTTGGCGTGCGCATGGCTGATGAAGATGGTGAAGTTAGACAGGCAGGTCTGCAATGGGAAAGCTCTGGAGAAGCTGCTGATGTTGTTGCCGACACTGTCCACTAAATTCTGGACACCTAAACAAAAGACCAGTCATTGGAAAGGACGGCATTACTAAAGCAACAAAAGAGCTGACTAATTCCAAATTAATCTTGTGTTTCATAATTGATCTGATCTTTAAATGAAGCTTAAATGAAACAGCAGACATGAGTACGATCATCAAATGTTCGCGTTTTGCATCTGTCTCATCATGCATGCTTACAAAGCAAATAAAAATACAAAACTATTAGATTAATTTTCACAATTAGAACATAATGTGCACAGCAGAAGTTGTGTTTTTGGGTTTGCTTTTACTAGACACGTACTGTTGACAACGGTTCTTGTCTGTTCAATCACAATGTGCGGTGTGTCATTCAAAGAGGAAAAACCCTGAGAAAAAGAGAAGACATCAGGTTTTTAAAATTCATAATGCCATAAAGACTAAAAGTTTTTAAAAAGACACATGATACTAGTTAAAACAAGTTCAAAAATGTGGAGGAAAATCCTTTAATTTATTCACACTCACCCTGTGGACGACAGAGCTGAGATCTGTTTTCACTACATTTTTCATCTTTTCCAGCTGAGGGTTCACATTAGGAAGCTAAAAATCAGTGAAAAAAACATCAATAAACACAAACACTGATGAAAAATGAAGATTACACTGTTTGGTATTAAGAATCTAAGTTATCCTTTTTCTCATTGATTTCTCTCACAGTTTCCCACAAAGAGCTGAAATCGATGAGTTGACTAAAGATAAAATTTGAAGAAAATGTTGCTTCCTCTCCAACTAAATGTGTAATTCATCCTACAATCTAGGGTCAAGGTGAAAGAGACTTTAATAACTGTTGTAAAATTGCATGCAGTTAGACTGCAGCCACAGTCATTTGACTTTGAAATAATATTGAAATGTCAGTACATAACATCAGACATCATGCAAGCCGGAAGAGCTTGTTTGTGCTGAGTTCAATAGCAAAGTGTCTCTATAGTACCATATGTGAAAGTAAGGTAAAGCCATTCAGATTATTGTTCACATCATATTATATTCTCATATTCTGTTTTGTACCCGGGTGAAGTTTGCACTCATCTGCAGCTGGGACAGGGACTGGCGGATGCTGTGGCAGAGCTGGGCCGTGGTGGCGTCCGATTCCTCGTCATGGCAGCCGGGGTCATCGAGGGTGCGGTTGATGCTGTCACGGACTTGGCTCAGGTTGAAATGAAGTTTTCCGGTTCCTTCCTGTAAGACCACTAGAGACACGCTGACGTTCTCCAGGGCCTCCTTGGTTTCCCTCATGGCTGAAAGGAATGAGAGCAAAAATGAGGCAAAGAAAAGGATTTGGTTGCTGTTATGGAAAAACCAGGCATGAGAGCTAAAATGTTTATTATGTTCCCTTGAAACATAATTATAAATTGTTCTTTATGGCCCTTTAGTATAATAGTTTATGCCTGAAATCAAGTTTTAAATTTAATGAGGATTTTTAAAGGCTTACCACAAATTGACTAAAGAGGGAAACAATTTATGAAAATCTCATAATTCTGTCCTGGTAAAATGCAGGATGATATGCAAAAACACACTGAAATTATTTGCAGCAATGCTTTTTTGTCCTTCTTCAACATAATTGGACCAATGTTTCAGTCGTATGTATGACACTTTATTTTTAACATCAGCATACATACAAAAAAACCAGAATATGTAATGTGTGCTTCTGTTGCAAACATTCAGACTCACAAGGGGACATTAACACTTAGAAATCACCAGGCCTGACTTCACTAAACACGTAAACGTCCTTCACACAAAGGTGAAAACTCGTTTTTGTTTTTTCCTGGAACAGCAATGATGTAAATAATTGTTTTTTATTATTGTTGATGTCGTTAATGAGCAGCTCGTAGTTTTGTAATCCAGAGTTTTGCAAAGCAGCAGTCAGTGTTCGATGAAAATCCCATAATATCCTGCAGCAAACGTTCAACATTAAACAGGATAAGGAATAAGAAGATATGGGCAAATGTTGGAACAGTGATAAAAAATGCAATAGGAGAAATAGCAACACTGACACTGTGACATAAATACTTTGTAAAAAGAGAGATGATTAATTATAATTATTATATTGAGTTCTTCAGGAACTCATAGACTGAAGAAGACTGGTCTTCTTCAGATGTGCCTTGAAAAGTATTCACACTTTTTTACATGTTATCATCTCACAACCACAGAGTGAATGCATTTTATGGGGAATTTATGTGACAGACCAATGCAAAACAGTACAAAATGGAGAAGAAAAGGAAAATAATTCATGGTTGATTCATAAAGTAAATTCTGACATGACTAAATGTGGAAAAGTTTAAGGGATTTGAATACTTTTAAAAAGCACAGCACATTTTAGATGACTAGTCATATTCTTTTTGTTGTTGCAGGTTAGTTAAAAAGAAATTATGACTGGTTCAAACAAACATAGTTCAAACAAACATGTCACCATGAGGGACCACAGCTGAGATATTCAGATGCAGGTTGATGTTGGTTTGGACTTTCAGTGAGATCCATTAACTTAAAACTGCACTCAGCAACATTGTCAACCACATAAATGAAAGTAAATGCTTACATGACACAAACACTGTCATGTAAACATGAAATTGTTCTCACTTTAATAAAAAGTGAAAATGGAAATAAACGATTCCCAATAGAAAAAAGCAAATTCAATCCTGGAAATATTTCTCATCATAATCTTCTTCCTACTCCCATTTTTTTTTATTTGAAAGACATTTGTTATCAGATGTTGCGTAGTGCAATTTTAATGTTGTAATTGTCCTCTGTGAAGATGTGACTTGATGATCAGGGAGGTTTAACATTTTTTAGGAAAAAAAACCCAGGAGGATCAGATAGTCGGAGCAACAACAGCATCAAAAGTCACAACATTAGGGATAAAATGACTGGATCATCGGTAAGTCATGGAGTTGCTGAGTTACCTTTGATGGCTCTCTGGATTTTCACTTTATGAAAAACATAAACAATATAAACAATAAAAAGAAGTAATAATAATTAAAAGTCAAAGACTTTCTTACAATATTGTAAAAGTAATTGCCTTAAATGATTACTCCGCAAGTTTAATTCATAAAACAGCAACAAAGTTATGCAATATGCTGTTAGTAGCAGGCTGTTAGTCAATGAAAGGAAGAAAAAATGTGTTGATGTACCTCCAGCCATATTAAGCACTTGGTTTAAAGCAGGATGGACCTCTTTTTCCAACCGTACATGGATCCTTCCCCCGAGTAATGGACCTATGTCTGTAAGAAAACAGCAACACATCTATCAGGCAAATGTAGCATATATATTTCTACTATTGTTATGCCTGGCTGCAAAGTTTTCCTTTTCCTTTTTCACAATCTTTAACTCTCAGGAAAGAACTGCCTGCAGAAGAAAACTTGAATACTCAAAGGAAGCCTTCATTACAGTCACAGCTGGAGCTTCTAGACCCAGATATGTCGCTAATCAGTTGTAAAAACAAGTCATGGATAAGGGGAAGTAAACAAGATGTATTACCAAGAAGAAAAGCTGAGTGAATCATTTATGCCCACTTAATTCACTATCAGAGGCAAGAAGAAGATCTACTTACTATCTAGGTCATAGTTGACTTTGTTCTTGACGGTGGCGTATTGGGATATCAGGTAATCAATTTGCTGCAAACAGGAAACACAAAGCAAAACAGGGTTACATGGAAGAATACAGAAACTAGTTCATTAGTTCCACGTTAGATTCCAACAGATTCTGAATAAAAATGAGCTGAGTTTTATAAGACCCTGTAGGTAAAAATATAAATAACATAATGAACATGAAATGTTCTCAAAACACCACAAAATTCTCGAAACTCAGATGAAAAGTGGTTGTATGGTTTTGTATGGTTTTAAACCCATAAAATTAAATATTGGCAGTTTACAGAAATGCAATGTAAATATATTTTCATCATATTTTGACATCTTATTTCCCACACTGGAGAAATTGTTGCAGAGTTTTCTAAGCCACTTTTTCCTTCCACTTAACTTTGTGTTGAAGTCCTTGGATATAGCCCTTAGTGGACAACAAACCTTTATTTGTGGCTTACCCTCCTCTCAATGACTACTGGACAACTTTCAAATCAGTAAACCCGTAACATAATATTTCTGCAAAAGAAATATGTTTTTGCTGTGTATTCATTAGCAATATTTAATGAGTAATTGAAATATATCAGTTTTGATGTAATACAGCCATAAAATAAAATTGTCTTTCAGTTTTTATATTGAATTACTAAAATGTATTTACTTTCAAACGATCTTAGACTTAGAGGCAGCTGTTAATACTGCGTCTTTATTTTGTCTCACCATCGGTGTGTCATTAGCAAAGGTGTGCAGGTCCCTCATGTTGCTGTTAACCAGCCGGCGTATGTTCTTCACCTGAGAGCTCAGGTTCTGGTTGGCTGCATACGCACACAGAACTCCAATCCTGCAAACAATTGGCAGATGCAAATATAATGATATTACTGTTTGAAAGCCGGGCATTTCCAATTTAAAAGCAGCGGGTTCTACAGAATGGGATGATGGCATGTCAGCAGCAGTAGGGGTCAGTCTTTCCCACTTCTACTTTTACATTAAGGCACCTGTAGAACTAGGTAATATTGTTATATAGATTCAATATAAATAACAACAAAAAGTGATGATTGTAGTTTGTTTACAAACGTTTAATCTCAGGTCCTCAGAATGTAAACAAATCTAAATTTAATTTTAAAAAAAAAGATAAAGCGTGACATTAAAGGAAGTCTCTTGTATGCTTCAAACAAACCTGAGTAGCTCACAAGACTTAATTAGCTCGAGGAACATCAAGGGAGCTAGCCCATAATATTAGGCTGTTTCCATAACTCATTTCCATCCCAGCTGAAAGCACCTCACCGCTGCCCCTGCTACTGTAAGTCAGTTCAGCTGTTCCTGTGAGCTCCAGGGGTGATCAGACTTCAGAAACGATGGTTCTATAGAAGTCAGAATTCATAAAGTGGGATTGTACTGCACAGAGAACCTCTTTCATGGAAATGCCTCAGTGGAATAAGCAGCTTTATGAATGATGTAAGATGAGTTGCTGAGAGGAATAACAAAGGGGCTGACTCAGAGGCGACTGGGATGGTTTAGATCAATAGAAATGAATCGGATTGTTGTGACTCATTGAATAAAAAAGCAGTGGATATGTGAGTGTGTGTGTGTGTGTGTGTGTGTGTGTGTGTGTGTGTGTGTGTGCGTGTGTGTGTGTGTCTGTTGTTCAGCATAAGTACAAAAGCAGCTTGTACATATGTGGTGCAGTGAAGATGGTGTGTGTATTTCATCCTTACAGTGTTCTGAGCAGCAGCTGCATTAGTCACAGTCTTTATCATGAATAAAATCCGATGTGACATTAAACTGAAGACATTTTCCACATTAGGGGCAGTAATGTCTGTTTAGACTGGGCATGATGAGATATACTGTTTACAATTTCTTCTGACACTCCTTCATGTGTACAAGTGCTTTTCTACAGAATTATGAAGTTATTGTATTTCACTTTTCTACTTTTCAGTTAGAACATTTACATAAAATAACTAGTGCTGGGACATTAGCACATAGATTTTAAAACATTATGAATTTCAAAGCAAATTATTGTTTTGTTTTTTTTTCATATAAACATTCAGAACGTAATCTTTGTATTTGCATGTTTCTAGTTCACCCATAAATCTGACACACAGCTGACGGCAAAGTCTCTTCTCTTGGCTCAATATAGGCTTCAAAAAACAATCTGATGAGATGCTGGAAAAGACTAATTGTGTTAAAGTTGTGCTAAAAGGAGTTAGCCTACATCAGCAAAGCTATTCAAGCCTAAAATAAGATATTAGTGAAAATACCAGCAACAAGCAAAGAGCGGGAAGTGCATGTACCCAACTCTAATATCAGCAACAGTACACATTTCTAAAGAACAATTTTTTGTAGAAGCTACATGAATGATTAGGGGTTTCTAAAATACCTGACAGCTGACTAGGTTTGATTACTCTTTGCACCAATGTGATGTTGAATAACCTAGATATCAGGATAAAAACAATAAATATCGCTGTTTTTGAGCTCTCATCTATTTATTCAATAATTTAGCAGCAAAAGGGGTTTTGAATTGAGAATGTTGCTTATCATATTGATTTATGACTTTTGATCAAAATGTAATTAGTTACAAATAAGTTGCAAATTAGTTGCTTGATTAAATTTTTAATTGAGTCCCACCACTAAAATTAACTTGATTTGACAAAAGTAGGGCTTCATAAAGTCTGTTACTGAATAGGTTGAGACTTGTGAATCAGCCAAACGAATAGACTGAGACACAGGAATGATAATTTACCAGGGAAAGATCAAAACTGTCCACTTCAACCACAAACATTTTGTTCAGCCTTCTCTCTCTTCTGTTTTTTCCTTCCCCTATTGTAAATATACACTTTCATAAATTTGATATAACCTAAGTTTTTGCTAAATTTATGAAATCAAACTTTCTTGCTTGCCCACGTCATGTTTTCCTCTCAGGGTTGCATTGGGTCTTTCTAAATGCTCACATTACTCAATATTCTGTACATGTTAACATCAGGCTTAACATTAAACTCATATTTCCCCTGTGTAGAATCTGAACTCTGTTCCCTCTGCCTCCCTTCCAGCCCACCTCCTTCTGCTGTTCTTTGTCTCTTGCTCACTCTGTCTCCCTGGTGTCCAGCAAGGTCACTGGAATCTGCTGCTTAACAAAGAGTCTTTGAGCGAAAAGCAAAGCACTTAGCAAGAAGCTGGAGAGTCCCGTCTGCCACAGTACAATATGATTTGATTTATATTTATACTGCACTGATACGAAAAAATCTCTAAACGGATGGGTTGTACTTTTTCTGGCCTAAAGTGTTAAAAGTTTCTCTTTCAAAACTTTCTTTAAAGATTTAAAGAACAACCTGTTTTGTGAAGGTTAAGGTAAGTAAGGATGTTCTTATCCAACAGCATTCTCCTTTCCTTTATGTGCCTCAAATTTCTGCTTGTTTCTAACCATTGGGATGTGATCACTACAGCGAAGCGACAGGCAGGCAATTTAATATTCACAGCATGCAAATTCAGCTTTTCTACTGCTGAATCGTGTTCCTCATTTATTAAAAAAAAAACAAAAAAAAAAAAAACAGATTAAATTGGAGCCAAATGTTCAATTTCAACCAAGATACAGAAATTTCTTAGATGTTTGCCAGGTAGCACCTGAGGCTTCACTTCAATAATAGGGGGCTCTTTCTAGCTGTATCATATTATTATGGAATGATCCCATGAAAATCAAAGAGACTTGTTTTTTGAATAGAGTTGTGTAAAGTAGTTATGAGAATTACATGTGAAACATGCAGTAACATCACTCTAAAAGTGTCCAGATTGGAGAAACACACACCTGAGCAGTATCTCTCTGCTGCTCCTCCAAAGTCACCTCTTGCTTCTCTGATAAGGCCATCCTC